GGAGACCGAGGTCGCAGTGAGCAGATCAGACCACTGCGATCCAGCCAGGGTAACAGAGAGACCCAGACACAAAAAAAAAAAAAAAAAAAAAAAAAAAGAAAAGAAAAAAATTTGGAGAAAGAACATCCTGGAAAGAGGTACTACCCATAGAAAAGCCCTGTGACAAAAATAAGCATGGCATGTTTCAGAAACCTCAAAAAGGTGAGTGCTTCTCAAGCAGGAAGAAGCAGAGTGGACAGGGTGGGGATTGGTAAGAGATGAGGCAGAAGAAATCGGTGGTGGACAAGCCTAGCCTGTGCCTACAGAGAAAGGAATTAGATTATATCTGAAAGGCATAAAAAAAAAAAAGTAAAAATAAAAAAAATAAAAACTAAAAAAGAAAAAGAAAAAAAAGATTATATCTGAAGGGCAATGGGAAGCCATTGGCAAATTGTAGACAGGGGAATAGCATATTCTGATTTACTTTTAAGCTCTCCAGTGCTATATCCACAGCTCCCAGGTAAACAAACTCAGGCAGTACAATATTTCATAGACTCGTATCACCCTTCGTTAAGGACAATGTCACTGCAAACTAACAGCTCTAAAAAACATCTTTAGCCTGTAGGCCCTGGCTGGCTTTCCATCACTGCAGGCTAAAGTCGAAAATGATGCTTCTTCCTTTTCCAAAACTTTATACTTTTTATGCTCAGGGGAATGAAGCTGTCAGAGCACCTAGTGGTTTGCGTGACAAAACCTAAGGAAATGCTAAGATCATTTACAATGGGAATTGGTCCTATCCTCCATCTGAATCTCACCTCAACATCTCTTCCTTCTGGTCTTTCCAATCCTGGGACATCTTATCCCTTGTCATCCTTTTGTTGCCTTCTTTTCTCCATATGCTCAAAACTAAACATTCTGAATGTGAGCTGCTTGGCCAAACTGAACATTATTAAAGTTAATTTTAAAAATCCCACACACTTAATGCTCCCATTAGGCACACCTTTAGCAAAAAGGGCTACAGTGGAAGTTAAATTTGGATAGAGTCCTTTTTGAAGCTAAATTGTGGTTTTCATTAATTGAAATAAATGTATTCTACCAACATGTCTGGACACAATAACTAAGAGGGAAAAATCTAACCTGTGGCTGCACTGGGTGTGTGTATCTTTATGCCTGAAGGCAGAGATAACAGCATGAGAAACGATGCCTAATGAGATTCACCTGCTCACCAGGACTGGGCCATCACAATGGGAAATAACCAGGACTGGGGTAGCCCAGGAGATACTGAACTTGTGCCTCTTATTAAGACCTGATGGTAGACAAACCCCTGACTCCCCACCCCACCAAATAAAAAGAGCCACCAGCCTGACTTTCCCCCAGGCTACACAGTCTGGAATACCCAGATACTAAACAAAACCAACCTTTTAATTGTTAGTCCCCCAGACACAATGACTGTGTGGCTGCCTCAAAACCGTTAAAATCATTAAAACAATGAAAAATTCACATCATCTGCTAACACCACAGCAACTAATGGGCACTCGGCACTGCTCTCATCTCCAACCCCCACACACCTAGAAACATCTCCTGGTACACAACACTGTGCAGCAGCTCTCAAACAGGCTGGAGTGGGGAGGGAGGGACACCAGTCTAGCAAAGCCAACTGCTTCATGGCCGTTGAGAACAAACAATACTGTGCCTTTAGACTTTTCAAAGCCTAAGCTCGTGTGATTGGCAGCTGAGTGATTTTGGGATTGCAGAGTATGGGGTCACATACCTGACTGCACTTCATAGCCAAGTTAATACCTTTCATTGTTCACTGCCTCCAGTTCCCACTAGATCAGGGGCTCTTATCAAGCACCTGCAATCACAATCTCATGGCTCCCTTATTAAAAATGCAGATTCCTACGGCCTACTGAAAATAAACATCTGCAGAGTAGCCTGACTGTATTTAATTGTACTTTAAGTTCTGGGGTACGACAAACTGTATTTTTAAACACTACTGGTACACAACACCGTGCAGCAGTGCTATGTCATCTTTATACACATTTTGTTTGGGACCTCTGCCCTAAAGCAATGCTTCTCAAACTGTGGGTCAGGACCTGCTTGGTCAGGAGATCAAATTAATGGGTCATGACCAGCAGTTGTTTTCTTTTTTAAATGAAGTAGAAAAAAAAAAAAACTTTAAAATACAGCACACTGGAGGTAGGAAGGGTAATTATTGTTCTCTGAAACTTAATTCTGTTACGAATATGTATGCAGTGCGGGTCCCACTCAAAGCCTGAAAACGATGCTACTAGAGGGAAGAAGGAAAACCGTTTTCTTGGCGTAGAATTTATTCTCCATTTTCCCCACCCCTAACTCCAAGCTTCCTGACTATGGTTCAAAAACAGAAATTTCAAGACAGATCCAAGAAACGCTGTCATTGAACGCTGAACTGCCGCCGCAAAGCCCAGATGAGGAAGGGGATGTGGCTCCCGCTGCACTCCTGCCTGAGATCCGATCATGGAGCCGGGGACAAGGGATGGTGCCAAGGAGGAAGTCCGCACAGCTCTCCCCAGGCTGGGTTCGTTCCTGGGGAGAACTTGTAGCCACTGAAAACTCAGTTCAGAAGAATGGAAATGTTCCTCACCGGAGGAGGAAGACTCAGCCACGCACGTTAAGGGTTAGGGAAGAGAGGGGTGAATAGACAGAATTCAAGTTAGGCCCACCTCTGGGGTCTTGCAGGGGTGACTAGGAAAAAGGAAAAGCCAGGGAAGGGTGACTCCAATCTCACTGATCACAGGGCCTGTAGCCCCAGAACTATGAGAGCACGGGGGAGCAATAAGCACGTGAAATCAAGTCCCACCCCAGAGCCAGCGAGGGCATTTACGGAACTTCTTGCACCTCTAATGCTCTGAAGCTGACCGCTACCCTTCTTGCCCAATGCTCTGGGACAGGGAACCCCGTCTTGCCAGACTAGAAACAAGCAAGGAAGAGCACGGAGAAAAAGACAGCTGTCTCGTCAGCCTTTAGATTCATCAAAGGCAAGAACTCACTCAAGAGCCTCCCGAGTTGGAAGGACAGCAAATCAGCAAGGAAGCCAGAAAGCAAAAGCCCCAGCAAGGCTTGGGAGCAGTTCCCTGGGGCCATTCCCAGCAGCGGGAATAGGGGGCTGACGCGGGTGCAGCTCCGCGCCGAGCGGAGGAAAACAGGACCCTCGCTCACCTGGTTTTTTAAACTCTCGCAGCTAAGACGGAAGGCAGAGGTGGCAATGTTCCGGACAAGAAGTCCGAAAGAACAGGTGTCCCCCACCCCCGCCGCCCCCACGACCGGAGAAAAGCCCCCAAACTCTGGGAAAGACACCAGAGTAGGTCGGCGGCCAACTGGGTGAATTTGAAGCGGCGGGAGGTCGGGGCCGCCCCTAAGCGCCAGCTCGGGGGAGGCGCCCGCGGCAGAGGCCCCCGCATCCCATCCGGCAGGAGAGACCTCGCGCCCACCCCCTTAGCAAGAGCACTGGGGAGGCGCCGGGACGGAACTCGGCTGCGGTTACCTCCGCCCGGGCTGGGGCCGGCGACGCTGTCCGAGGAGTTTCGAGGGCGCCCAGTCCCACGGGGGGGCGGGGGAAGGGGACGCCAGGACGGAGGCCCCGGACCCAAGTGTCCCCAGGAGGAGGACCCAGCTTCACGCAGGGACGGAGGGCGTCCCCAGCACCACCCGCACCCCACGGAGTCCGCACCCGCGGGGACGAAGCGAAGGAGGAAGCGGCGATCCCAGCCCCGCGCCCCCTCCGCAAACCTGGCCCCGCAGACTCGCCCGGCCCCTGGCGCGCGTCTCCGCCCCGGCCGGGGGTCCCGCGCCCCTGGGCTCTCTCCGCGGGTGGCCGCGGGCACCGCAGTGTTTGTAAACAAACCGGTCACGTGGCCCGGCGGCCGCTCCCCGCCCCTGGCGCCCGCGGCCCCCACGGGGACCCCATGCGGAACCGAGCGCGCCGCACCCCCAACCCTGCGCAGGCCCGGCCGGAGGAGCCCTGGGGCCGGGGACCCAGAGCCCGCGCTGACAGCGCGCCCCACGCCCACGCGCGCCCAGCTCGCGCCGCACTCCTGCGCACTCACCCGGCGGCAGGCGGCCCCGTCCGGCCACTGCCGGGCTCGGCTCTACTGGGGTGCGCAGCGGCGAAGGGCGGCCCGGCTGGGGCTCCGGCTCCCGGCGCGCTCTTAAAGCCACAGTCTCCGCCACCGCCGCGGCCGCCACTCCGCATCCCTCCGGGTCCGGGCCGGGGGCTGCCCCGTGACGGACTCACCCCCGCGCCTATCCCCTCGGCTCAGCACATAGCAACACGCCGCGGGTTGGCCGGGCGCAGCCGCAGCCCATCCGCGCGGAGCCAATCATCAGAGGACGGAACTCCGCCCCCCGCTTCCCTGACCGCCCACTCCCCCACCCCTCGGCCCGGCCTGGGCGAGGGGAGTGGGGCTGGTCCCGGTCCAGCCCGTCCGGGCAACTTGAGGGAGGGGCAGGGACCAAGAATGACAAAGCTGGGTGGGCTCTCAGAGCCTAGGAGGAGGCTGTTTATTTGGGTTCGGGGTTTGTCCCCAGGGCAGGGCTGGGATTCGCAGAACCTGGGTTGTATTTTGGGGTGGGGGGATTTGCAGTGCTTCTCCTTGGAAGCTCAAGGTAATCATTCCCTCCTTACGTTTTAAACCTCGCCCTGAGTCAGAGCCTAAGTTACCAGAAGTAGCCCTGAGGACCTGGGGCAATTGAATTTAAAACGATAGTGCCAGTTCCACCCAGCCCACCCATGCCCTGCTCAGAAGCCAGGCATTTCCCGTCTTCTCTCTGCCCTGCTAGTAATTTCGGCGAATTAAAAGTATGAAACGGGCTTAGAGGAATTGAAGACCCCACTGTGGCTGCTAATTTCCCATGACTTTTAGAGGCAGATGACGGTGATTAGAGTGGGATGGTCACAGTGACCAGAAGGGAGGAGTCCACGTTCCGGGTCACTGGGGTGGTGCTTTTCAAGGAAGAGCAGGTTAAAAAATAAGCTCGTGGCAGTCAGGAAACCAGGGAGGCACCAGGTGGGTGGAGTGGGGCAGTCTCCCAGTAGGAAAACAGGTCAGTTTGATAAAGAATGTTGGCACGAACAAGGTGAACAGAGCAGGTCCTGCCTTTCACTCAAGACACTGGGGTTCCGCAGTTCCTCTGGGAACTCCAAGGAAACTAATGTTTCACTGTGCAGCCATCAGGATGTGAGGTGCTGCAGGAGGTGCAGCTGACTACCCGCCTTCCATGCACTGGTTTGCACGTACACCCAGAATGCTGGCTCACCTGCACCTCCACCCAGCTGTCTTTAAAATATGCTTGGTCGACCGAATTGTATTCAGTTAATACCTATTGCATGTGAATCCGATCCCCAAAGTTGGTGAAAACAACAAAACACTCCAAATCCATCAGTATTGTGGTGCCGACATAGCCTTTGATTCGCAGTTTCAGTATAAGCAGAGGCACTATGTCGTGGTTCACAGCTGACTAGTTTGGAGAGGCTAAAATGAGGGGAAATGCTTTCAGATGAGAAGGAATCACAAACAAGAACTGTTTAGCATTTAATCCTTAATGTAAGATGTGATGGATTCTTTAGCAAGAGCTTGCTGTCTCACGCTGATCTGCTTCTTGAGCAAGTTTCTTTGTCTCTCCAGGCCTAGGTTTTCACAGTTTAAAACAAGGAGGGTTGAAATCGGATGATATCAAGTTCCTTGCAGCTCTCAAATTCTAAGTAGGGTCAGAAAGTCATATTCGTTACAACGTTTCCGCAATATTGTGCGAGCGAGCGAATATTTGTGTTGCCACATCACCACTTCCTAAGAGTAGATGCTGAATTAGTTTAACACCCTAGGATATTGGTATGTTATGTAACAAGACTGGTGGCTACTGTTTCTGTTTAAATAAAAGATAACGTTAGCTAAAGAAGACCAGCCTCGTACAGTGGTTTCAGAGGGAGCTCTGAGGACCCCTGCAGGCCTGCTGTGTGTATGCAGGGGACTGGAAGAGGCCCCAGACCTTAGGGCCAGGAGACAATAGAACCAGCCAGCCGGCCAACAACAGAAAAAGTATTAAGCCTGGTCATGCCTCCTCCCAGTCAAAATGAGCCAAGCATTTTGAGCTGGTAAAGGAGAAGGGAGAAGTGAAACAAAGAAGTAAGTGAAACAAAGTAATAGATGCAACTTCTCTGAACTCAAAGAGGGACGCTTGAATTGTCCCTCAAAACACTTTCTCAGTGCCTCTTAGGGGCAGAATTTCCTGCTTGACTTGGATAATAGTATTCTGAAGAATCTACTGAGGAGAGACTCTGAGGCCAATGGAGAGTTGGTGAAATGAGACAGATGTTTATCCTGGAAAGCAAAAAGAAATGGAGAGATGAAGAGAGAGAGACACACACAAATTTGTTTAGAGTCAGCCTAGTCTTCATGAAACAAACAAACAAAAACCCTTGCTGGTAAAAGTTTGAAAGATTCTTGCCCTCACAGACATGATCAGGCTGGCTTTGTCAATGGAGCAGTACCTCTGTCTCCTCTGTGTGAAGCCAAATTCGTTCATTTTCAGAGCCTTCACTGACATTCTTTTCCAGCAACCTCTCTCACGAATCCTCGCGGAACACCTTGCCTCCAGAAGGCTGCCTCTTCACCATTTGGTTCTGAGGTCAAATGCCTCGTCCAGGCTGGGCACCTGCAATCCCAGCACTTTGGAAGGCCAGAGCGGGTAGATCACCCGAGGTCAGGGGTTTAAGACCAGCCTGGCCAACATGGTGAAACCCCGTCTCTACTAAAAATACAAAAATTAGCTGGGCATGATGTTGGCCGCCTATAATCCCAGCTTCTCGGGAGGCTGAGGCAGGAGAATCGCTTGAACCCAGGAGCAGAGGTTGCAGTGAGCCAAGATCACGCCACTGCATTGTAGCAGCAAAAATAAATAAATAAATAAATAAATAAAGCCTCCTCCAGAGAGGCCTCCCTCACTACCCATTCATATGTGCTATGCCCCCTTTACTCGCTAACATAACCCGATTTTCTTCATGATACATACCACTTTCTGAAATCATCTTGTTCATTGCTTTGTGCTTGTTTTTTTGTCCCATCCAGCTCTGAAGAGTAAACTGTGAAAACATCAGGGACCTGTCTGTCTTGCTTCCTGTTGTGTCCCAGTGCCAAAAACTGTGACTAGCACTCAACAGATTTTCGAAAGACTATCTGAACAAATGCATGAATGTGCCTACTGCCTCATCTCATGTTTGTCCCTGAGGTTTCTTTCACTTGGAACATTGTTCTCTCCTTTATCCCCCTTCCTCACCCCTCAGCCCTTTGCTCTCATCCCATCTCAAATCCATTTGCCTGACGATTCAGTCCAAAGATTGGATCAAGTATCACTTCTGTGGAAGAATTTCCCGTAGCCTTCCCAGAAAAATTAATTTTCCTATTCTTAGTACCCTACATAGCACTTTACTCAGCGCTCCATTACATCACCCCGCACTCCACACTCCCAATTAAGAGTTATCAGTTATCCGTCCTCTCTGCCAGTCCCTCTTGGGCTGGAACCTTATCAGATCATCCTTGAATTTTCAGCACCAGGTACACGGTAGGCCCTCCCTAAAGCTTTATGTCTGAGTTGCATCCAGTGGGAATCCAAGCAGAAATGGAGAGGGTGTGTTCTCAGAGTATACTGATCAACAGATAACAGTCTTACTTTGTAGTACGATAACGTTAAACTTGAAACTTTAGGATATTCTATAATAAAAGAGACAAGCTACATTTTAAAATCACAGTGCAATGGAAACTTCCTGAAGGCTGGAGGCCACAGGCTCTCACACTACCATGTCACCTGGGAAAACAGCCAGCTCTGCCTGTATAAGAGGGAGCGCTGCCCCTCACAGGTCTCACTATACCCCCTCCAACCCCCCTCCAGTAAAGTCCCATGACATTACATCACAGACAGGGCCTGGTGCCATCTTCCCGCAGACATTATGGTAACAGTGCTTTGTTTCTTTATGTACAATAAATGCTTTCTCTGATCCCTGTCCAAGTCTCTCATTTTTCAGTCATGAAAGTAGCTGATTCTGTGCCTTTCAGACTGTTAACAAGGAAGGGTTGTACCTCAGGCTTCCCGAATGCCCCTGAACAAAACATTTGCTACCATTTAGTGAGCACATATTGTGTGCAGAGCAGTTTCTCTTCTAACTAGTTATATTTAATCCTCAAAGCAACCAGCAAGATAGATATTTCCCTCATTTTAAAAAGGAGCTGATGCTATGAAATTTGAACCCTGATCCCACTGGCTTCAAAATCTAATCATTCTTTTTCTTCTACACTATCAAAGACTAAAACTGCTTACCTTCTGTTATCCTGAAATATCCCAATCGCCTTTACAAGAAGACTAACCCAAAGATCAAACTATTCCATGAAGCAAAGCCCTATGCCAATCTGTAGGACCTGGAAGCAAGAGTGGTGAGGGCTTAGCACCTCCCACTTAACTACAGTAAAAATCGTTTATTTGGTGCTTCCTATGTTTTTGAAACTGGTATAGACATGTTACATGCATTGTTTAATTTAATCTAATATTCACAACCACCACAGGTCTACATTTTTTAAGCATAATTCCAAAGTCCAAAAAGCTCTGAGAATCCAAAGTTGGTTTGATGCAGCTTACCCGACGG